GGAGGAGGAGGAGGAGGAGGAGGAGAAGGAGGAGGCTAGACTCGACCGACCGAAGGGCCCATCCAATCCCTGACTAGCTTCCCCCAGCCGCAGCTGGGAGGAGCCAGCGATCAGGGGTCGAAGGGGTCATCAGGTCGGGAGGCCGCACGGCCCCTCTGCCTGGCCGCTGGGGTCCTGGCCTCCAGAGCCCTCGGCCCCAGGAGCTGGGCTTGGGCCGGCTGGAGCCCGAAGAGTGGGAGCACCTCCAGAATTGACGGCCTCCTCGGGCCCTCCGACGCAGGACCTGCCTGGGCCGCCTCAGGGCGCAACGGGGAAAAGTGCTCGGACCAAAATTGAACTGCGGCATCCGAAGGAGACCTGAGATCCCCAAGCCTTCTAGCGCCTCCTTTGGGATGCTTGCCCTGGGCGGTCTTATTATCATTATTATTATTATTAGTTATTAGTATTATTATTATTATTATTATTAGTAGTAGTAGTAGTAGTAGTAGTAGTAGTAGTAGTAGTAGTAGTAGTAGTAGTAGTAGTAGTAGTAGTAGTAGTAGTAGTAGTAGTAGTCGTAGTCGTAGCGTAGTAGTAGTAGTAGTAGTAGTAGTAGTAGTAGTCGTAGTCGTAGTCGTAGTCGTAGAGTAGTAGTAGTAGTAGTAGTAGTAGTAGTAGTAGTAGTAGTAGTAGTACTAGTAGTAGTAGTAGTAGTAGTAGTAGTAGTAGTAGTAGTAGTAGTAGTAGTAGTAGTAGTAGTAGTAGTAGTAGTAGTAGTAGTAGTAGTAGTAGTAGAGTAATATTATTATTGTTGCTACTCGGGATCGGTCGACCTGGACAGTTATCCTGGAGGCCACGCCCGTTCCTGTCAGAAACATAACCTCTACAATAGGTGCAGAAAAAGGAGGACCGAATTTTGACAGACCTCGGGGAGGAGGGGCGCAACGAGCAAGGAGTGCCCGCACGCGCGCCACGGCCTCAGCGTGCCGTCGAACCCTGGCAGCGGACTTCCCCCCCTGTGCACACGGGGTCCGCGCTGGCCGACGGGGCCGTATCCTCCTCGCAGGCCTCCGCAGGGTCCACGGGCCACTCGCCCAGGTCGATGATTTCCAGGGCCTTGACCCACATGGAGTCGCGGACACCCGATCCTGAGATGCGCACCTCCTGCGCTGCCGCAAACCTCGCCGCCGGGCGAGCGACGAACTGGCAGCCCTCGATGCAGTGGATGTCGCAGCTGTCCGCCCGCAGTGCCGGGGCGCCTTCTTTCGCTCTAGCATCGGCCAAAGCGTTGCCATCAAACTCGGACAGCGTGACCAAACCTTCCCTGACTGCTCGCGGCCCCAGGTGGGCCCTGACTTTGATGACCTCAGCGCCCCTAAGCCTATCAGCACGTCCAGCCCAGAGGCAGGCTCGCTGGCTGCCCGCAGCCGACGCCGCCACAGGGTTGCCAGCACAACGCACCGTCGCGAGGCAGTCGCAGTAGAGCTTGAAGGAGCCCCCCGCGAAGGTGTCGGTGAGGACCTTCACAGCGCAGTCCCCCCCGCGTCGGGCCAGCTGCTCAGGCCCTTCCAACAGCGGGGCCGAGCCCCACGCCTCGGCGGCCAGCCTGCAGTTCCTGCCGTAGACGATGATGGACCAGCCAGCAGCCCTCAGGCTCGGGTAGCTCTGGTCGACCCCTGAGACATCGACGAAGACGTGCTCTCCGTCGGTGAAGGGCCCGAAACTCAGCCAGCTGGTCGCGTGCTTGAAGTAGTCGTCGGTTCGAAGCGGTCGCTGGGCCAACTCCGAGATGTCGGGGAACAGCCCCCCGGCAAAGAGCTCGGTGGAAGGGTGGCCCAAGCTCTCGACTTGGTCCGCCGCCTCCCGCAAGGGCGACTCCAGGAACTCCCGCCACCAGCCATCGTGAGCCTCGCACCTGAAGCGCCTGTGGAAGAGGGACCCAACAGGACGGCCGCAGATCTGGCAACTCTTGGGAACGGATGTGTCCTCGGCTCCGACCCTGGCCTGGCACCAGTAGGTGTTCTGGATGAGGCTGCGCAGCGCCCCCTGGCGGTGCAGGTCCAACACCTCGGAGGAATGGCTGGCCAGGTCGAGGATCGGCTGCCAGGAAGGCGGGATCTCCCAGTTCCACATGCTGGAACCGCGCCGCTTCACCACCTCGAGGCCTATGGCTCGTCGGCAGTCCAGGGGGGCCATGTGGCCGAAGAAGGCTGGCGAGAAGCGACGCACCTGGCACTCGCGGCCCAGCGCGTCATGGATCCTGTAGGCTAGGAGTGGCCGCTGATGAATCCCCAGCCGACCCGCTCGAGCGTGAGCACCAGAGCACTGATCGGCTCCTTCACCATGCGCCAGGGGTGCTGCCCCTTAGAGATGCTCAAGCCAGAGGCGAGGCAAGAGCGGGCAACCGACTCGGGTAGCAGGGAGGCCCAAGCCATTTCGACGTAGGCCGCCAGCGCCGTCTTGGTGACGATCGTCAGAGGGTCCCGCTGCCAACCTCCTTACTGACCAAGGCTGGCCAGCCAAGGCGGCTCCACGGGCCAGTCGGCCACTCGCCGTGGTGGCTCCGACACGCAGCCGGCGCAGGCGGCCGCTGGGCACCCCCATGATCGCCGAGCCCCAGGAGGCTTTAGCAGTGGGCCCTGCTCTGAAAACTCTCGAACGGCTGACAGAGGACCTGAAAAGCCTGGTGAACTTCCTCCCATGGCAACGGGCGGCCTTTTCCCGAGTCGCCGTGGTCGCCACCCGTCGGTAGGAACCAGCCACGGAGTCAGCGCCGAGGTCCCCGTGCACGCCCACGGAGTCGCCCTCCTCGATGTCCCAGCCAGGCTGGCGTACGAGGGGTTCTCGTAGCTTCCTGCTGGTGGCCAGCGCCTTGATCTTATTCCTGCTGAGCGGCAGGTTGGCCCCCTTCACCGTCTGGCAGAAGGCCCGATAGGCAGCGGCGAGCTTCTGGGCGACAATGGTGCAGGGCCCAGTCACATGGCGCGAGACGTCATCGACCACGTTGAGGACCCTGGCAATGGGAGCCGCCATCGCCGCTGCTCTGAGGGCCGAGATGAGGGGGTGCGTGGCCAAAACCGTGGCGCACGAGCAGCCTGCCACCACCGTGCCATTCGCCGTGGCTGCATCGCTGAGGCAGGCGCCAATGCGGGCCCTCCGAGGGGCCAGCTATGTGCAGCACAACGCTCGCAGCAACCCCTGGTCGAAACCCCGCGCCTGCGCCGCAATCCTGAGCTCCTCGTGCCCTATGTGCTCGCAGTGCTTGGTGAGGTCGGCGTAGAAGGGCCCAGCCTCCTCAAGGGTGGGCTTCGCGTGGGCCGCGAGGACGCTGTGGAGCCAGGCCGCCTTGTCGCATCCACGCGCTGAGGAGTTGCCCCAGAAGGCCTGTTGGTCGATGGGCCGCTCCCACTTGGCACGCTCCGTCGGGTGCGGGACCGGATCCTGGCGAGCAGCGGCGTGAGCCCGATGGGGCGCTGGCCGCCGTCAGGCTGGGGCAAGAGAACCATGATGATGGTCCAGGCAGAGCTCGCCGCAGCGCGGGCTGCGCTCCCAAGAGTTTAGCACGCTGGCGAGCCTGCGTAGCATGTCGCCCCCGACCTCCAGCAGCAAATGGGGGTGGAAGTTGTCCCGCCCCGAGCCCGTGGCTCTGGGGAACTTTCGGGCCACCTGCTCGAAATCGTCGATCGTGATGGGGTTGAGCGACCATTCCCCAGTCCCCCAATACCTGGGGCGCCCCTGCTTCGTCCGAACTGGGTTCGCCCAGGGAGGGGGCCAGTCTGCAAGGGCCATTTCAAGGGCAGGCTGTCCAACGAGAGCAACGCCGGTGGGGCCCCCCTCCCGGACGAGCGCGGGCTCGACGTGGGTTTTCTCGGAAACCCCGTGGGCAGCGGGCCCCTGCCTCTTGAAGGCCATCTCGTTGAAGTCGCCCCACTTCTGCTTGCTGGTCTGGGAGTCTTACTTGGTGCGCTGCTGACCGCGAGCTGCTCGATCATGGCCATGGGGTTGTAGCCCATGTCCGTCTGGAGGCCGACCTCGCCCCAGAAGCTGTCGAACATGTAGCCGTCGAGCATGGCGACCCCCAGGTCCTGAAACTCGCCGCGCAGGCGGAGCGCCGCCTCGCGCGGCACCTGCCCTCACCAGGTGCCTCGCGCGGCACATGGCGAGCCGCCTGGGGCCAGATCTCACCTGCGCCCGGCGAGGTGGCGGAGGAAGAGCCAGCGCTGGGCGATGGCCGAGGCCCCGTCGAGTCGGCCCGCGTGTACCTTGGCCTCGTGCGGGGCGGTGACCGCCATGATGCCCCTGGCCCTGCCCTTGAAAATGCGGGCCTCATCGTCCGACATGCCTTGTAGCGCCTGCAAGGCCAGCTCCGCTTGCGCGAATCACTTACTAGATGGGGCCCCCAGGTCCAGCGTCGGCAGGGGGCCTAGCCAACGACTCGACCGACTGGTCGCGCCTGCCTCTGGCCGCGTCGTCGGTCACGATATCCAAATCAAAAGCATCGGGCGCCCGCTGGGTCTGCACCGCGGGTCGCTCCCAGCAGCCTCGGAGCAGAAGAAACCGCTTGATGAGGACCGTTCGGCGTGTCCGCGTGAGCCGTAAGGGAGCCCACCATGGCCTCTAGCGCCGTCGAGATGACGAAGTAGTCGCACTCGTTGTCATTGCGCGTAGCTGGTCCTGGGGCCAGAACCGCCCCCCCGATGAGGGCTGGCCAACCTGAGTCCATGAGCTCCGAGGCCTCGATGTTCCAGCAGCCGCCTATCACGAATGGGGGCCACTCGTGGAGGACGGCGAGCAGCTGGCGATTGGACCCTTGCAGACCCACGGAGTCCTCAAGGTAGACCGAGATCACGGCTATGGTGGCGCCCTTGCCCAGCGAAATCCCGCGGGGAAGGGGCCCGCGCTGCTGGCCAGCCGGAGGCTGGGCGAACCGCGCCGAGCCCAGCAACTTCGAGGTGGCGACGCCGACGCCAGACGAGACCGCCATGGCCGCCTCTCCGGTCCTGAGCGTTGTCGAGCACGCCAGCTGGAGGCCGCGTCGGTTGGCCCATCCGTGGGCCTGCTCCTCGGCCGTCGGGGGGAAAAAGCGAGTTTCCTGGAACGGCGCCACGTGCGGCTCGATCCGCTTTCTGCGCATCCACTCGTGGACACTGGCGATCGAGTTCCAAGTATTTCCGTTGTAGGTGCAGATGCGGAGGTCGCCCTCCAGCGAGCCCTGCCGCAGCGCCAGGAGCTGCAGGTGGGGCAGGCACTGCTCGAGGCGGATGGCCAGCACACCTACCATAGCGGGCGTGCGCTCTGTGTGCCGGACCGGACTCTGCACTTCCGCAGCCGTGGGGTCTGTCCCAGCTGGGCCGCGCGTCCCCTGGTCAGCGCTGCCTCCATGCCTGGCGGGCTTCGGCCACCCCCCCGTCGGGGGCCGCGCAGGCAGGGGCCGCGAGGGGGGAGGCTGCCTACCGAGCGGCCTTGGCTCCCTCGCCACGTGCTCTAGCAGAGCGGACCAGGCGGGCCGCCCTCTCCCCTCTGGCGGGGGGCCGCTACCCTGCGAACTGGCCAGCAACCCCATCAGCAACAACAGGCGCAGCAGGCCCGCCGGCCACCTTTTGCTCGGTGGCCCGCTGGTGCGCTGCCTCGGCTGCCGCTGCCCCAAGCTCCGCGGCACTCACGGCGCGCTCGCGGAAGCCGCTGGTGGGCTCTGCCGCAGCGGCGGGGGCCGCGGCAGCCGCTGCCGCAGCAGGGGGGGTCGCCTGCTGCTCGGCCGCAGCTGCTGCCGCTGGCCCCTGAGCGGGTGCCCCAGCAGGCCCGTCTGGCTGCGGGCGCTCCCGCTTGCGGCGCTTGCTGGCGGCGGCCTCCTCGATGTCCTGCTTGAGCCGCTGTAGCTGGTCGAACGTCGCCTGGGCCTCCAGCGTGACCCTGTAGCCCTCCTCGCGCATCTGTCGGAGATTAGCTTGGGCCTCCTCCTCAAGCTCGCTGAAGTCCTCGAGCGACTCCACGTCGAAGATGAAGGTGGCCGATTTCGAGCCGCCAGGAGTCGGTGGCGTGATGCCAGAGGCCTGGGCGCGGCTGCGCAGGAGCTTGGCCTCCCCCGCCTGGGCCTCCGCCAGGCTGGCCGCGCAGGTGTCGCGCCAGCCACAGCATTCGTCCAGCTGCTCCTCGACCGCCAACAGGGCGTCGGCTGCCTCGTCGAGCTGGCGCTGGAGGTTGATGCGGCGGTCCGTGGCCGACTGCAGCTGCTGCTCCAAGGTCCGCTGGGTTGCTGCCGGCGGCGGCGGGACGAAGTCGCGGGCTCCCGCCACTGCCTCCCGAAGCTTGGCCGCGATGATCGGGTCGGGGATGGCCAGCAGCCTGTCAAGCTCCGAAGACCCAGCCGACGACCAGGGGGCGCCAGGGAAGCCGCGGCGACCATCGGCCGCCCCGCCCGACGCTGCGGCCTTGGCCTTGAGGCTCCCGCTCGCCGCTGCGGCCTTGGCCTTGGGGCTGGCCTTCGGCGACGCCCCCTCCAGCTCGATGGCCCGCCCAAGCTCCATTGCGCGGCGACGGGCTGGCTGGCTTGAGCTCGAGGGAGTGGCCACACGTCCAGCAGTGAGAGTCCTTGCGAAAGTTCCACCTGGAGCGGCACGACATGCAGATCATGACACCTGGCTGAGCCGTCGGCGCCATGGGGAGGCACTCGCAGACTCGAGAGAATGGGGCGGACCACCCCTCTGCAAAACTGTCGGGCTGAGCAGCCTTGGCAATGGCCGCGGACTAGCAGTATTCACGTGTTCCCCTGTGGATCAAAGCATCTTGAGCCGAAATGGCTACGGATGATGATGAGGAGGAGGAGGAGGAGGGGGAGGGGGAGGAGGAGGAGGAGGAGGAGGAGGAGGAGGAGGAGGAGGAGGAGGAGGAGGAGGAGGAAGAGGAGGAGGAGGAGAGAGTAGGGGGGAGGGGGAGCAGAAGGGCATTCGAGCGCAGCCATCCTGCGACCTCGGCGTTGCCTCTTCTTCGCAGCAGGCGTTTTCACGTGGTCTCGGGCCCTGGGGCCCTCACACATCGATGCGGTTGGAAAAACGACGTTAAGATCCATCGATGCGGCGGTCTAGGGCGTCGGTGGTGATTTTTGTGATAGTGGAATGTTCTTGCAACGTCTGACCTGGAGGAGTCAGAACGGGATGAAAAATCGACAAGCCGCACGCTACCTGCCTGACCGAGACCTGCTTCCGCTGCCTGCTACTGCCTTCTCTCGCACGAGCTGGCCCCTGCACTGTAGTTTAGATGTGCCTCGCCCGATCCCCGAACTCCTCCCCCCCTCCTCCTCCTCCTCCCTTCCGCGCGGCCACCCTGGCAGGCGGAGGACTCCTCCGCCGAGGTGGCCTTGCACTCCTCGTGTACGAGGAGGAAGAGGAGGAGGAGGAGGAGGAGGAGGAGGAGGAGGAGGCGGAGGACGCGGAGGAGGCGGACGAGGACGAGGAGGAGGAGGAGGAGGAGGAGGAGGAGGAGGAGAATCGGGAGGAAGAACAGGGCCAGTGTAAACCCGAGAACCATCAACGATGCTGCAATACACCATCATTCCAAGTTCCCTCTTTTGAAGGGCCCTACAAGAGTTCGTTCTGTTGCATTAAGCCGTCCTTCCAAAGTCCCTCGTAAAGGGCCGTGCAAGAGTTCATCGTGTTGCGGCAAATGCCCCAGTGGAGAGCAAGCGTCTGAAAGCACTCAATCATCGTGCCGAACTAGCGTTCCTGGGACGTCAGCGTCGCAAATCACCGTGACTGTTGCGTCCTGGCCATTCTCGACCGTGCCAGCGCACGAGTCCTGGGACGTCAACACCGAAAACCATAATGACGGTTGCCTTCTGGTAATCCTAGATCTTGCTAGAACCCCGTTCCTGGGACTTCGACCGTGGGAATCCTTGAAGCTCGTTCAACATTCAAGTGCGCGGCGAAAAGGCGAGAACAAGACTTTGAATACCTCACTGTCATTCATCGTTGAAGCTGTTGCAAACTTGTAAGGCGAACGTGAGAGGCACATGCGTAAAGCCACCGACCCTCCGTTCGTGAAACGTTGCGCATCTCGAGCTTCAGGATCACAAATCGTGAGGAAGTCTCAAGCGACACGCCTGACCCACCCCACCGGGACGTCTCTCTGGGGGTGTGACAGGAAGGAGTTGCAACGGGGAGGAGGAGGAGGAGGAGGAGGAGGAGGAGGAGGAGGAGGAGGAGGAGGAGGGCCAATGTATGTAAACCCAAGCCGCATCAGCGATGTTGCAATAGATCGTCCCTCCATGCTGCCTGTCCAGGTGTCCCTACAAGAATATAGTCTCATCGCGGCAACTGCCTCACTGTAAGGCAAACGTCTGATAATCCTCAACCGTGCCAAAACACCAGTCCTTGGAGAGCAGAGGAGGAGAGGCCGGGTGATGATGAGAGGGAGGAAGGAGTGCAAGGCATGTGCCAAAATAAAATGGCACACGTGACTGGGTCTGCATCCAAATCTCCCGCCACGAAACGTGGGGGACGGGGAAGGGCAGGGATGATGGGAAGGAGGAGGGGGGAGGGAGTGGGCCAGAGTGACCGAGCTGGTGCCGGCACGTCGGCGACCTGGGATGACCACGTCGTCGACGCTGCAGCACTGAGCCCGTCCTCGCAGGTCAGCACGGGCGGCCCTCCCAGGCCTGCTCCAGGAGGTCCCAGGACGCACTTGGGTGCCTCCGACGGTCCAGGGCGGCCTCCAGAGAGAGGGAGCAGGATGAGGAAGAGGCGGACGGGAAGGCAGAGAGCACGCGAGAGGAACAGGAGGGAAGAGGCGGAGCGACGGGAGATGACGACGATGAGGACAACGAGAATGATGTGTGATGTGATGGGAATTAGGGTGAGGATTAGGATGATGATGTTGTTGATGATGGCGACGATGATGATGATGACGGTGCTAATGATGCTGACGATGATGATGTTGCTGATTATTATTATGCTGCATAGTCAGATGCATCTACAGATGATGATGATCATGGTAATGGTGGTGATGCTGATGCTGATGCTGATGCTGATGATGATGATGATGATGGTGCAGCTGCGTATGATGATTGTGATGGTGATGATGCTGATGATGCTGATGATGATGCTGATGCTGATGATGCTGATGATGAGGATGAGAGTAAGTATGCAGATGCTGATGATGCTGATTATGAGGGTGATGATGGTGGTGATGATGCTGATGATGCAGACACGGCGACGACGATGATGGCATGACGATGATGATGGTGGTTATGATGGTCATGGTGGTGTTAATGTTGATGATGATGGTGATTGTGGTGATGATGGTGATGGTGATGGTGGTGCTGTTGACGATGGCGATGACCATGATGGTGATGCTGATGTTGATTATGCCGATGATGTTGATGATGATGATGATGATGATGATGATGATGATGATGATGAGGTCTGAGGGTCCCTGGTGGCCAGACGATTCTTTACAGCGAAGCTGTGCGAATGGATCTGTTGTGTGCAAGCTCGAGCTTCGAAACACGGAGCGGCTCACGGACCGCTTCACAACGACCCCTGAAGAATTAATTAAAGCGCAGGGTGGCACGAGGGCGGGTGCGCTTGAATGGTTGCGGAGCAAGAACGGCCATGGGACGGATCAAACTCAGACCAGGACGACACAAACATCTGGCTAGGTCTGAGGGTCCCTGGTGGCCAGACGATTCTTTACAGCGAAGCTGTGCGAATGGATCTGTTGTGTGCAAGCTCGAGCTTCGAAACACGGAGCGGCTCACGGGCCGCTTCACAACGACCCTACTGTGCCCTACCTGGCATCTGGCCGCTTCATGCCTAGAAAGAGTCTGCTGAGGAACCCTTCCGCAAGCCTCGAGGCTCCAGAGGAAATCCAAGAGCACACCCAAGACGCGCACGGACGAGACAGGTGAGTAAAAGGCGATGGGGTGGGCGGGGTCGCGTGAGCGTGGAGGCACGGACCGCCGACTTCGTCGGGGAGCCCACACGAGAACCCCAGAGCCCACATGTTGTCGTGGTTAGCTCGTTGGCAGCCAAACGTGCATGGGGAGATCCTCGAATGCCTCCCGTCACAAATGGTGAGCAGCTGTCTAAAAAGGATTGAGTGCGCGGAAGCGCTTGCTGATGGGAAAATAGCAATGCAAGGACACTTGACAGTCAGGCATTTGTGAAGAAGACGGGCTAGAATATTGCTAGCGTCAGTCTCACCGAACCTGGGCCAAATCAAGACGACTCCCCGAACACAGCGAGACGAGATCCATCCCACGAGGCGGCGGTGCACGATGGCGGTAGCCAGCAGGGAGCCGTTTATCCAAGCACTGCAGCCCGAGAGACGGGCGTCGTCGGCCCGTGCGATCTCGCCCGTCCCGAAGCCGACTTCGAGGAGGGTCTGGCCAGCGGCAGCACGGCACGCGCGGGCGAGGTCCTGCAAGGCCTGTCGAACGCCAGCGCCTCCACCTTGAGAAAGCGAGGAAGCCGTGGCCGCCGCTGCTGGCCGAGGATCTGGCCTATGCTGTCCTCGACCTCCTGGGCCCACTCCGACACCCCGGCGTCGACCTTCTCGAGCTCCGCGAGGTAGCGCACGTGCCGTGAGTACCGAGCCGTGCTCTGCGCACTCGTGTGGCGCAGACGCGCCTGCAGCTCGGCCAGGGGCATGCCCTCGACCGCCGTGGCGTGCGACGCCGCAGAGTGCCGCATCTGGTACGGGATCATGTCGGGCGCGCCTGGGACCAGCGACAGCCGTCGTCGGAACTCGGCGCCGAAGGTCGCTGCGCTGAACGACCACAGGGGCGACCCAACGGGCCGTGCCGCGCGGAGCAGCTTCAGGAAGCTCCCGCCTCCGCCACGCCAGGCCGCGCTCCGCAGCAGTACGCCCTCGTCCTGCGCGAGCGACTTGCTGCAGGCTGATCCCTCGATCGGGTGCAGCAACAGCGCCCAGCGGGGCTCCGCGTCGCGGCCTGGGCCCACCAGCGTGTCGACCGTCATGCCGACGAGGTCGCTCGGGAGGCGGATCATCGCGTCCCATGCGAGCGCGACCGCCCCCGCCCACTCGAAGTCCCCCTCGAGCGCGGCGATCCCGATCAACGCCCAGACGATCGGCTTCCCGACGGGCGTCATCGGGGTGCTCCTCGAGTGCACTCGAAAGCCAGAGAGCGCGGCCCGCGCCAGCGGAAGGCCGCCGTGCCTCGGTCGCGGCACGCGCGGCAGCCTGTATTGCACGGACGCCAGCAGCCGCGAGCCCGTCTCCGCCAGCTCCCCCTCCCAGAACAGCTTGTCCAAGTAGGCCGCCAGGAGGACGTCCAGGCGGTCCGCCGTGATGTCGTCCAGCGACGGCGCGGCGGCCCAGGCCAGGAAGCTGGTCACGTGGTTGTCGAAGCTGCGGATGGTGGCCTCCCGCACCTTGTGCCTCTGCAAGAAGGTCAGCCCATGCCGAGGGTCGCAGTTGGCTCCGCCGAACTTCATGACTCTGAGCTTCGCCCGATTTGCCTTCTGACGTGCCAACTCGACACGACCCGCCGCCTTCGACCGAGCTGGAGCCCGAGCTCCAGGCTTCGCGCTCGGAGGAGGTGTCTTGATCTTCCCTGCCTTCCGAAGAGCGCGAGCTCGCTGCGGTCGTGGTGGCGGCGGCGGCCTCCTCCTCGGGGTCGCGCAAGTCGTGTCGCCGACGTCGGAGCAGGCCGATAGGATCGTCGTAGTGGAGACGGCGAGCCTTCTCGTCAGCGGCCGCCCGAGCGAGGCTAGCCCAGGCCGTGCCAACATTCCGCGGGTCGGTTGCAAAGGGAGTCGGCTGGCCCGTCACGGTGCGTGAGCCTTTGTCTGAGGTGTTCCACTCCGAAGGTAGCCATCTCACGGCTACGGACATGTCGTGAATGACGCTGTAGCTGCACAACTCTCTGCAGGTCTGATTGATCAAAGGGGATGCGGACCGACCTTTTTCCACTCCCAGTACCAGAGAAAGGTTATCATTAAGCATGAGGTGAAGATGACCCCGAGACCGCAGGGCGCGCATCTTGTGGCGCACGCCCAGCGCGAGGGCACGCCCCTCGAGCCTCAGGATGTTCTCCTCGCGGCACCAGCGGCCGAAGGTCACGTTCCGCCAGGTCTCCATCGGGAAGACGACGTCCGAGCTCACAGTGGCAAAGGACATCCCGTCGAATGGAGCCTCCGAGGTGTCGCGAGCGGCAAAGGCGAACTCCCGAGCGTGCAGGGCCCCCTCCACGTGGTACCGCCACCGCTCGCGAACCCGAGCTGTCTCCAACACCAGCTGCTGGCCGAGCTCCCGCTTGGTGACCCCGTAGCCGCCATGCAAGCTGCCCGCGGGGTCGAGGTCGCCCGTGCTAGCGTCGGTGGAGTAGACCGTCGAGTCCACGGGCCGCTTCGCATCGTAGTAGGCGAAGGGCGCGAGAGCGGCGGCGACTCGCAGCTCGCGAATCACCTCGGGCCATATCCTCCAGCGGCTGTCACCCGCCTTCTTGATGAACCGATACGTCGACTGGAAGATGCACAGGAGTGGTCGGCGGAGAAGGGCCGCCCAGTTGAAGTGTCCGACCAGGCTGGCCAGCTCCTTTCCCGTGGCGTAACGCTGGGATGCCTGGCACAGCAGCGCCTGGCGGATCTTCCACATCCGCGATCGGCCCAGCGATATCCTTCCAGACTCTCTGTCAAAGATCAGACCTGTGAACTTCTGGTGCTCGCTCGGCAGCTCCATCTCCTTGCACTTGAGGCCCGCCGTGTTGAAAGCGCCGTACACCGTCTCCAGCTGAGAGACGACCTCGTCGTACTTGGAGCCGATCACGGCGACGCCGTCGACGTAGGCGGCGGCGACGGTCTCGCCCTCGAGGTCGGGAATCACCTTCCTCTCGTGAACGAGTCTGTGGTCACCGATGCCTACCGTCCTCAGCATACCCTCAACGGCGTGCTGGCAGAAGAACAAGCTCCAGTTCCAGCCCATGGGCAGCACCTTCAGACAAGGCGAACACCTGCGGCCGACGATGCCGTCGAGAGTGCCGCTCGGCAGCACGTTGGCAAGAGCACCGCGATCGATACTCGGAAGAACCATCAGCTCGCTCAGACCAGGCGGTGCAAGGAAGCGATAGAAGGCTGCCTCGATGTCACACTGACCGAGGAAGAGGCTGCTGTCGGCCCCGAGCCGTAGGCTCTGCCAGCTGCCTGCCGTCGGCAGCTCGGCGACGTCGGGGTCATAAAACATACGATTGACACGCCGGGTGTCCAGAACCATCCGCTGCTGGCCGCTCCCGTCCCGCTTGGCGACGAAGAACGGCGCGAGCGTGTGCTTGCGCTCGCTGGTGAATTCGATCATGCCCGCATTGAACAAATCGTGCAAAAAACTGGCGTAGAGCTTCGGCGAGCTCTTCAACCTGGCGTCGAAGTGAGGTGGTACATTGGCAAGCCACTCCTTACGAGGGCGCAAGAGATGCTTCTCCCAGTCCTGCCACAAGTCGCGCACGGACTCCGACAACAGGTAGGCGGGCTCGCACTTCCTGGAGTCCGAAGGCACCGCGACGCTCCCTTCGGTGAACAGAACCGCTTTCGCTGGGGACATGTCGTACCCAGGAGAACAACCACGCAGCTCAGTGTAGGCCGCCGTGGGACTGACATCAGGAGGCCCGAACTCCAACAGGTGGCCGTAGAGCGACTCGATGCCAGTGAGCTGCGCCGCCGATAGCTTGTCGAACCCGTCGCCGCCCAGGCGCCCGTTGAGGAAGTTGAGCGCCGCGACGACCTCACAGGTCCACAGCTCGACGGCCAGCTGCTGGCGGCCCCGACTCCGCCGACCTCGGGAATTTGAAAAACATGCATTGTGGTTGCGCCGCTCGAAGTGCGCAGTCGCCAGGTCCAGCGGGATCGGGAGGATGTCCCGCTGGACCACCATGATCGTGAAGTGGAAGGGAGCGTCAGCCCCCCTCCCCGCCAGCGGCGGCACCTCCACGGCCCTTTCCCTTAGGGTCCGACTTGGGTCCACCCGCCAACTGCTTCTTCAACTTCTCGATCTCCGACTTCTGCCGATCGACGGTGCTCTGCATCCCTGAGAGACGCGCCCTGCCGTCACCGCCGCCGCCACCACCGTGTGCGTCATCCCCCCGCGAGGCCATCCGCTCCTCCTTCAGCTTCCGCCGCTCCTTGAGGACGAGGCTCTCCTTGTGGAGCTCGTCCGTCACGAACGTGAGCAGCTTCGGCGAGATGCAGACCAGCCCGCGGGTCTCGCCCGTCCCGAGGTACAGGTGCGAGTCCTCGAGCAGCTCGTCACCTCGGGACGTCGTGAGAACCCTCTCGCGATGGCGGTACTCGGCCATCTGGAGTCGGCGGCACACCAGCTCCGCACACGACAGCTCGCTGCCATTGAGCTGGTCGTACGTCAGCAGCAGGTGCATGATGCGGCAGCAGAGCTCGTGGACGGAGACGTCCTGGTCCGAGGATGACAGCCCCGTCTCGGCCTTGAACTTGGCGTGCCGAGATCTGAATGTCACGTCATTCTCTCGCACGAACTCACACACCCACTTCACGGTGCGGGGCCCACTGATCGGGAAGAAATCCCAGTGCGTCTCGGTGAGCTCCGCCACGGCCTCACGCATCCCGAGGAAACGCTCCGTGGCGTTGGCCCGCAGCGCGAGCACGCGCGCGTCGAGCTCGTCGCCGCCGTCAGGAGGGAGAGCCCGCACCAACATCGTGCGGCCCCCCTTCATCGCCATGCCGAACCCCGACGCGAGCACGAAGGCGTCGAGATCCTCGTCGGGCAGCAGGCCCTTCCCCCCACCGTCGCTCGAGGCGATGCAGCGCCAACGCGACGGCGAGGGGTCAGGGAGGCGTCCGCGGCCGAGGCCCCACTCAGTCGGAATCTCCGCCGAGGCCAAGGCCGATCCTGAAGGCGGTCTCGCCGCCGCTGGCCTCGCCTCCGCCTCGGGCTCCTCGGGGGCTCCAGCCGACACCACCGCCGTCTCCAGCACCTCGTCGAGCGATTGCCCCAAGACGAACCGCAACTGCAGCGCGAAGGCCGCGGGGCTCATGACCCAGTCCCTGCCGTACGTGCCGACGCCCACCGGGTTGGCCCCTTCTCTGTTGAGCAGCTGCCTCCGATCCCTCATGTCGTATGGCACGATGATGCGCAGCGCCTGGACCGTCAGCTCGTGAGGGTAGACGTCTCCGTCGGGCGTCGCCATATACCACAACCTCCCGTCCTCCTCGGCTTTCTCGCTCGGAGCTAAACTCGTCACTTCCTGATAGTCGGTCGGCGTGCACGGCGCGATGGCGACGCGAGCTTGCATGCTCTCGCCACCGCGCCACTGGATGTCGAACCGCTGTCCTGCACGAACTTGGAACGGCATAGCGTCCAATGAACACCCCGACGAGGAACGATGCAATGGAGAGCAGAGCCGCTCCCCACTTCAGCGAACCGACCAAGCCGTACGCGACCGCACACTCGGTCGCGTTGCCGAGGGTGCTCTCCACGATGCCCCAGGCCTTGTCAGACACGATCCAGGAGCCGACACGGGCGAGGCCGACCGCCACGGAGGACAGAGGCATGAAGCGGCCGCTGTCTTTGTTTGCGCTTGAATGGTTGCGGAGCAAGAACGGCCATGGGACGGATCAAACTCAGACCAGGACGACACAAACATCTGGCTATGATGCTGATGCTGAAGCTGCTGCTGCTGTTGCTGGTGCTGTTGCTGAGGATGATGATGAGCAGGAGGAAAGCGGGGGAGGAGGAGGAGCGAGGAGTAAGACAAAATAACGACGACGATGATGATGATGATGATGACGAGTAATGATGATGGCGATGATGGCGATGTTGTTGCTGATAATCGAAAGTATTGTGCTAATCAGACTGACTATGATGAAAAAGAGCGTGAGTCGGGAGGAGGAGGACGACGAAGAGCAGGAGTGAGGAAGAGGAGCAGCAGGAGGAGCAGGAGGAGAAACAGGAGGAGGAACAGGAGGACGAAGGAGGCGGATCAGGAGAAGGATGGTCTGCTGAAGGTGGGGAGCTGAGCGAGCAGGGGCAGGGAGAACGAGGAGGAGAGGAGCAGGACGAGCAAGCAGGGGGAGTGAAGCGAGGCAGGGAAGCGAGCAGGAGGAGCGAGGAGGGGGCGTCGAACCCGACAGCCGACGGCCGCCGGTGCCCCCGGCCCCTGCCCAGCCACAGGGCCCGCTTCCGCCGGGCGGGCGCCCGACGCCCTCAGGCCTTCTTCGGCCGGTCCGCGAGTTCGCAGTTGAGGTCCTCAGCCAGGAGAGGCCCTCGTCGCCTCCTGCTGCTCCTCGTGGCCATCGATCCGTCGTCGTCATCCCGCCGGGCTTCCCCCCCTTGCGCCTCCCTCTGTGCTCCGCTTCATTCCCCTCGTTCTTCTCCTCGTGCCCCCTCTTCGCGACCTCGACCTCGTCGTCGTCGTCGTCGCCCTCCTCGTCCTCTCCCCCTCCGGCTGTGATGCTGCTGCCCCTCCGCGTCTCTCCTCCGTATCGATTCATGTTCGTCCTCCTCCCTCCCTGCTCTCCCGATGCTCCTGCTCCTCCTGCTCCTCCTGCTCCTGCTCCTGCTCCTGCTCCTCCTCCTCCTCCTCCTCTCCCCTAAGATCCGACGTCATGACATGATGAAACACAGTGGAAATCACGGCGGGAGCCCTATACTCAATATTTCTCCGGGAATTCTCGAGCTGGACCAATCCGGGCGAAGACGCTCGGACGCGACGCCCACATCTCAGGGTCCTCCCCCCCTCCCCCGCGTCCCCTGTCACTGGACCCACCATCCAATGGGCTGCCTGGCACCGGACCATATCGATGATCTTCAGACCGTGTGTCAGCCCCATCGTGTGCTTGTCCGTCGAGGCCGTTCGATACGACGCCAGCGATGTAATGATCAGCTGGTTGGGCTGAGGGGGATGAACACACATGGGGCTAACACACGTCCTGAGGATCATCGACCATCGCCGCACTCTCAGGCACCCTGCGTCACAACATCCCACCCTCCACCCCTCAACCTCACTACTCCCCGCGGTACGGGCTCGCTTCACCGGGACTCGCCTAGCTGGCGCCCGCTTCGCCCGAGGTCTGGCTCCGCCCATCTCGCTTCGCCAGGGCTCGCTTCGCCAGGGCTCGTGCGGGGCCCTCATGGGCGGCTCGGGCGAGCGGGCCCTGACGGGCGGGCGGGTCGGGCGGGATGTTCCGCCTTGCGGGGCGGAGCGAGTTGGGCGAAGCGAGCCTTGGACCAAGTGAGCCTTGGACGAGGCGAGACCCAAGAGAAGCGGACTGGAAATGACAACACAAACGGGATTCAGAAACTATGAAAGAACATGCGTTTAAGTGAAGAGTGGAGCATATAAAGAAACGCCCAGGGCGTTTCCAAGACACACTAAGCCTTTTGTCCTCCCCCGCAGGCAACGCACGGGGTGCGCACACGCAAGCACACATAGACACCTGTCCCGCACCGCGGCCATGCAACACCAACCAGTCAGAAGGCTGCTGGGCCCGCGAGCTCAAACTGCGATCGCACGCATGCCGCCCGTGACCCCCCTCCGCACACAACCACTTGGCGGCGCGCGCGGAAGGGGGGTAGGGGAAGGCTTCTTAGAAGGAGGCTTCTTAGATGTGAGGCGCTGGCCTCACATCTGCAGACACGGCCCGCGCCTCCTAAGGAGCAAGGGGGGGTTCTAAGAGCCTCCCCGCCTCCCCATACCGCCCTCTGCGCGTGACCGAACCACACACACACACACGCGCACGCACGCACGCACGCACGCACGCACGCACGCACGCACTCACGCACGCACGCACGCACGCACGCACGCACGCACGCACGCGCGCACGCGCACACGCGCACACGCGCACACGCGCACACGCGCACACACGCACACACGCACACACGACACACACACACACGCGCACGCACGCACGCACGCCACGCACGCACGCACGCACGCACGCACGCACGCACGCACGCACGCACGCACGCACGCACCACAACGCACCACAACGCACCACAACGCACCACAACGCACCACAACGCACCACAACGCACCACAACGCACCACAACGCACCACACACACACACACAGACACACACACGCACGCACGCACGCGCGCACGCACGCACGCACGCACGCACACACACACACACACATCCACGCACGCACGCACGCACGCACGCACACACGCAGACACACACATACACACACACAAGCAAACTCTTCAACGGTCGCGGCCTCGCGCGCGGCGTCGAGGCGGATAACGTCCCTATGCGGAAAGAACGCGCGCGCGCGCGCGCGGCTGGCCCCTGAGAGCAAAGTCGGACACCCCGTCGTCTCGACCATGCCGTTCGCATGCCCAGGCATGGGCAGCGAGTGTGCAGAGGGTGCAGGAATAGCCTGACGGCGCAAGAAGGCGCGCACACTCACACACACACACACACACACGTATATATATATATGTATATATATATATATATACGCACACGCACAGGTGTGTGTGTGTATAAATATATATACACACGCATGGTCGCGTGCACGCGCGCACACAACACACACACACAACACACACACACACACGGGCAACGCACGCACGCACGCACGCGCACGCACGCACGCACGCACGCACAAACGCACACGCACGCACACGCACGCACACGCACGCACACGCACGCACACGCACGCACACGCACGCACGCACCCACCCCACCCACATCGTTGTTCTTTATTATTATATACCCCCACCTACGCCGCATTCCGGCCGATAGCAACCCAATCCGGGACTCCCATCCGGACTGTCAAAAATCAATTCAAAGTGGCTGTTGTTCTTCTCAGCATTGTCTTTCTTGTCGTCGACGATGCGAAAAACGTGGCAGGAATGGGACGCGGCGCACATCGCGCGCGGCAGTCAATCTGGGCCCGCCCATCCTGACTGTAAAAAATCGGTACAACGACTTCGCTGTTTCCTCTGAGCATGGCCTGCCTTGTCGCCGACGGTGCGAAATATGTGGCAGCAGTGGGAAGCGGCGCACATATGGGACGCGGCGCACATCGCGCGCGGCCGTCAATCCGGGCCCGCCCATCCCGATTGTAAAATATCAATACAAAATCTCCGCTTTTTCCTCTCAGCATGGCCTGCCGTGTCGCCGACGGTGCGAAACATGTGGCAGGAATGGGGCGCGGCGCACATCGCGCGCGGACGTCCATGCGGGCTGCGGGCTCTCCTATCCGAACTGTAAAAAAACAATGCAGAATTGCCGTTTTTCATTTCATCATGGCCTGTGTTGTCGTCGACGATGCGAAATGCGTGGCAGGAATGGGGCGCGGCGCACATCGCGCGCGGACTTCTAGGGCAACCCCAAGGCGGGAGGGGCCACCTTACTTGTCAGAAACAATGCCATGCTGATTTTCCCTGCCCACATAGCTGTTCTTGTCGTCCACCCCGCAAAAAGGCATGGCAAGAATTGGGCGCGGCCCCCCCCCCGCTCGAAGTGAATGAAACGACCTTCCGCTTAGGCGCCGAGCGAAATTTTCTCAAAGTTGCGCTCCCGCTTTGGCTCGGCGCACGTTTTTAGCAGGCCAATTCATTGGGCGCCGGGGCGTTCCAGGAGGCCCTGGGGTGACGAGTGCTTGGGAGGTTTTTGCTTGTCCAGGCTCTTGGAGGGCCTCCTGAGGCTCCCCGCGGTTTCTTGGCGGCGTCTGCGGCCAGGCCATCTTGGGCGTCTTGGAACGATCTTTCGGCGACTCAAGGCCCCTCGGATCGTCTCGGGGGCGTCTCGGCTCTCTTGGGGCGTTCCTGGGGCGCTCTGGGACCTGGGAGTCAGCGCTCTGGGACCTGCGACACTGAAATGCCCGCGCAGCCCCAAGTTGTGCCATCACTGTTTCTTATGTTGTGGGAGGGTGGGTGGGAATGGGCATGCCATGCTTGACTCGCTCGAGCTGGCTAGTTTGACCCGCACCCACACCTACGCCCACACCCACACACCCCAACACCCCCACAAACCCCACACATCCCATACCCCCACACCCCCACACACCCACACACCCACAAATCAACATACCCACGCACCCACGCACCCACACACCCACACACCCACACACCCACACACACACACCCACACACCTACGCACCCACAAACCCACACACCCACACGCCAACGCAACCCCCACACCCCCACACCAACCCACCCACCCACCCACACCCACACCCACACCCACACCCACACCCGCACCCACACCCACACCCACACACACACCCACACCCACACACACACACCCACACACACACAATCACACACAATCACACACAATCACACACAATCACACAAAATCACACAAAATCACACACACACACACACACGCACACACACACGCCAGCCCGCCAGCCCGCCCGCACCCGCACCCGAGCGCACGCGAGTATTCAACACGCAGCTCATTCCATTCGCATTTCTAGTGGCAAACGGTGAGGAGTCCTGAGGTTGAAGTTACCAGATGGTTCCACCGCGTGTGTGTGTGTGTGCCTCGCATGGCACCTCTGGCACCGTGAGCCGATACGCAGACGTCTATTTCGACGAACCGATGCTGAGACCGAGGTCGGCGGCAGCAGTTCTTCAGCGTCGACCGAGCCTCGGGCCAGTGCTAAGGCCCTCAGGCCGAGCGAGGGCGCGCGGGCGCGCGGGCACTCATGCGGGGCAGGCGCGTGAGCTGCTTCTGGCCCTGATGGCGAAGAAGCAGCGCGGTCCTACATGCACCTTGCGCGCAAACACCTGACATCTCAACGGGGAACAGGAGCTGGCCTCCAAAGCACTGGTCCAACTTTCAGGGGATGCTCGTGTCGGTGCGCGTACCCCCTGAAATCTGATGCATGGCCAGACCTCGCGCGAACATCTACCTCCTGTCCTCCTCGTTCTCTGGCGCAGCTGAGCAGGGGGCAGTCGGGAAGTGGCCGTCGCGCTTGGCCAGGCGCGCCCGTGCCTGGGAGTCGACTGTGTCCAGCACCTGGCAAACGGAGACCACCCGACGACCGCGGCGAGTCGTGCCGGGGCCTTGGGCGACGACTGGCGGGGAGACACACAAAAGAAGACGGGACGGGCGGAGCGAAGTGCCCGGTAGGGGGGAGCGGGGGAAGCGGAGAGGGGGTAAGAGCGGAAGCAGGACGGGGATGGGGTAAACGCGGAGCCAGGAAGGTGCGTAGGGAAGAAGCCAAGGGGAGGGAAGCGGAGGGCGTAAGCGCTCTCAAGATGCAGGGGAGCGGAGGGGGTAAGAGCGGAAGCAGGAACGGGGGAGGCCAGGCGCAAAAGGGTGAAGGGCGCAGAGGGGGGGGAGCGCAGGGAGGGGGGGGGGGAGGGCCCGTGAAGGCAGCGAAGGCAGGGAGAGGTCAGCTCCTCCTCTCGCCGCTCCCAAGACCGCGCACTGCTCCCCCCCTGGGTCGCTGGACTGCTCCTGCTGCCGCTGATGCTCCTCCTTCTGAGGACCGTGGAAAGGCGACACCTACACCACCACGGCGAGGAGATGCCAGGAGCAAGGGGGGTCTCCCTGGTGCTGTGGCCTCCCCCTCTCGCCCGAGACATCCCCAGCCTCCAGTTCGGGGAGGTGTCATGGACCTCCTCGCTGGAGGTGACCCCCCCTGGTGGAAATGGTGTCGCATCTCTTCCCTCCGACCTGCTACTACGGTCGCGTCGCTTCTCTGGGGGAGAGGCGGGCGCCCTGAAGAGGACTTCCATCAGAGGGCGTCGTTCGGGCCTCGCCTTGGTTTCCAATAGAAGAGCGAATCACTGCTTCAAACTTGAGATGTCGAAGGCCCGCGCGGATTTCTTGGATCTGCGCTGGGCCAGGAGAGCCCAGAGTCGAATCGACAAGTCGAATCTGCGATCGAAATTAATCGGATCGGCGGAAATCGGCAACCAAGTCGGGAGGAGTCGAATCGGCTGAAATCGGCAGAGTAGTGAGGCCTCATTGAGAAATCGGAGCCCAAATCGGCATCCCACATCGAATCGAATCGGAATTCGAATCCATCGAACTCGAATCGAATCGAATCGGAGGAATCGAAACGAGCCCTGCTGGGCCCCATCCCTGGCGAGCGGAGCGCGCCAGCGGCGGCGCCAGAGGGCGCCCAGCGCAGCTGCAAGAAACCCGCGCGAAGCGCCAAACCGTTGATGTGTATCGCCGATGCCAGGGGAGCCCAGAGTCGAATCGATAAGTCGGATCGGCGATCGAAACGAATCGGATCGGCGGAAATCGGCAGCCGAGTCGAGAGAAGTCGAATCGGCCGAAATCGGCAGAGCAGTAATGCCTCATTGAGAAATCGGAATCCCAATCGGAATCCAAAGTCGAATCGAATCGGAATCGGAATCCATCGAAATCGAATCGACTCGACTCGGAGGCATCGAAACGATCCCTGCGATGCCAGAAGTCCGCGCGAAGCGCCACAAGTTTGGCGTTGTGTATTTTTTTTCGCGGTGTTTCATCCTCGGTCCAAACCGCAGCAAGTAATTGTACGGCCCACCAGTGGGCCCCCGATGGCGAATCCGCCTCCCCTCCTGCGCGCGGTGGGGCTATCCGACTCGCATCGGCGATCTTATGGGCTTTCTGGGGGTCGGTGCGTGCCCGCCTGGGCCGATCCACCCCTCTCGTTGTCCCCGACCACCAACTTTCCGTCATGCGCGCCATCTGGCGGCGGGCTAGATGTTTAGAGTAAACAAAAAACGCCCCCAGAATAACCACCCCGACACGCGAAGTCGATTAGCAAACGCGCCCAAAGAAGGAATCAACCAAGGACGGGCTGTTCAGCAAACGCCCAGGGCCGTCCAGTAAACGCAAAGTGTCGGGTCTGGGTGGCGTTTTCCTCCCTTGAAATGTTGGTGGGTTGGTGCGCGGCGGTGGTGCCCACAGGCGTGGGTGGATCTGCTGCCCCATCTGATGTTGGAGCCTCCCCTTCCTCCTCCTCCTTTTCTTCCTCACCCCTTCCTCGATCCTCGATCCTCCTCGGTGCTCCTGAATCTTCCTCGATCCTCCTCGACCTCCTACCGCTCCTCCTCGATACTCCTGGACCCTTCTCGATTATCCTCGATCCTCCTGCGGCTGCTCCTGGTGCCCCCAAGCATCCGAATCCCAACTGGTCGGGTGACGGCCTGGGCAAGACGGCACCAGCTATACACTGAGTGTTCACTTGATTGCGCAAGCCCTGGCCAACCCAGATCTGGCCTGTCCAGGGTCGCGCGTGCAACTGTGGTTTTGGCGGCGTGGAGAGGGGGGGCGGGGGGAGGAAGGCTTCTAAAGGAGACTGCCTTTCATCTCAGAAAGAACTGGCCTTACATCTGTAGACCAGGCCTGCGCTTTCTGACAGGCAGCCTCCTTCTAAGAAGCCACCCGCCCTCCCCCGACCCCCTCTGCGCGTGACCGATGGTTGGCAGTTTTCGACTGCACGCAAGGAGTGACCCCTCCTCCTCCTCCTCCTCCTCCTCCTCCTCCTCCTCCTCCTCCTCCTCCTCCTCCTCCCACTCCTCCCCCTCCTCCTCCTCCTCCTCCTCCTCCTCCTCCGAGAGAAACTTTTGGTGCGCAGCCTTAGGGGGCACAGGGTAGGCCAGATCCAAGCGCGCAGGCCAGTGCTGGGAGGACCCCTGTGAGCCCGCACCTAAGGTCACTCTGGCGAAGGGCCACTCTCGCGCGAGAGGAGGAGGAGGAGGAGGAGGAGGAGGAGGAGGAGGAGGAGGAGGAGGAGGAGGAGGAGGAGGAGGAGGAGGAGGAGGAGGAGGAGGAGGAGGAGGAGAGGAGGAGGAGGAGAAGGAGGAGGTGAAGGGGGAGGTGGAGAAGGAGGACGAATAGGAGAAGGAGGAGGGGGAGGAGGAGTAGTATTATTGTACCCCGCGGCCCAGAGCCCCCCTCCACCACAGCACCGCAGCCCTGAGGAGCAAGGCGAGGGGAAGGAGAAGAGAGGGGAGGCCCAGGCACGCTCAGCGCGGGCCAGAGACCTCGAGCTCGACCATGCCTACGAACTGATGACGGGAGCGCCGCGGGCGCTGCGGCCATCAGCCCGCTCGCCCCCAGCAGCCGCTCTCAATCGAGTGTACCCCCGCCACGAACGAATGCCCGCCCCTTGTGAAGCCTTCCTGCACTTCGTGATAGCGCCCGTGAAGATGATGCCACCCAGGCGACCGTGAGCGCCACCACCAGCCGCGAGATGCGACCCCGACTGGCCGTCCGGCGGTTCATAGGAAACGTAGCACCGCTTGCAGCAGCATAGAGGCTTGTGGACGTGGAAAATCCCAGGGTAGTGTTCCGTCCTGACCTCCCGCGGCTGGCAGCGCGAACAAAGGGGCAGAGCACGGCGATTGATGAGCTCCACCATCTTCTGCCACCGCCGAGAGCGGAGCGGGTCCAACTTGGCCTCCAGCATGGGGACGGTGAGCTCATGCACGCTCGTGTCGTCCAGGGAGGGCCGCCGCGCCTCAGGCTGCACTGCTGCTCTGCTCCCTGTCTCCTCGAGCGGCTGCTGACGCCTCGTCACGATAGGCGCCTCGAGCCCCACCTCAGGCAACGCCAAGGCCCCGTCGCCATCGCGGCCGACCATGGCGTGCCCCGCAGCGCAAGCACCGCCCTCGCCACCGACGGGGACTGGGAGGGGAACGGCGGGCTGCAAGGAGGGGGCGCGAGCCTCCCTGCCAATCAGGCCGAGTCCAGCATCCGCAGCCGCCTCGTTGGGTCTGTCCCACACTTCCTCGCGCGAAGCGCGGGACGAGGGCGGCCTCGCCGCATCGCGAGCCTCGGCCATTCCACCATCCACCTGGGCCCAAGGTCGCTGGTCACTCCTCCCACCACCTGGGCCGCCAGCGTGACACTGGTCTGCGGAGCAGGCGCCCGTCCATCCCCCCACCACCTGGGACGGGCATTGGGGGTCGGCCACTCCACCCACCACCTGGGCCGACCCCCCTGAAGGCCACTCCTCCCGCCACCTGGGCCTCCGCAAATTGAAAGAAACAAGAAGAGACAGCTTCCTGCCCTTCCACTGGGCCCCGTCCTGGGAGAATCAGACCGCTTTCGAGGCCCCACTCCTCTGGAGCGTAGCCCAGCGCCGCGAGCAGGCCGTCGACCTGCGCCTCGGGACCGAATCACACGCAGGAGGAGGAGGAGGAGGAGGAGGAGGAGGAGGAGGAGGAGGAGGAGGAGGAGGAGGAGGAGGAGGAGGAGGAGGAGCCCGTCCATGCAACTTTGGCAAGGAGGAGGAGGGACAATCTGCCCGCCCACCTGGCGACTTCTTCTCTGCGGCCCTCCTCGCTCGCGAGGCGCGCGGGCCGCGGGCCCCTCTCCACAGGGGGGGGCTCCTCCCCCCCCCCCCCCCCCGGCGCCCCCGCGCCTGCCTGGCGGGCCGGGCGCAGGGTCGGGGGCGGCAAGAAGGGACGTGCAGGAAGGGGGGGCGCAATCGCGGCGGCGGGGCATGTGCGCGGCCCCGGGGGGAGGGGGGGGGACGGATTGAAGCAAGGAGAGGCGCCGTGAAATCTCAGGAACTATCGTGGCCCACGCCATGACCCCCCCCCCCAGTCACATCACCCCCCTCTTGGCCGCCCCCGAGCGGGTGGGAAGCTGGCGCACGCGCGCGGGGACCACCAGGGCACGGGCGCGCCCGACGTGGCGGGGCGCAACGACAGGGGGGTCGCGCACTAGGGGGTGGGTCGGCGGCGAGCGAGGGGGGGAAACGAGATGGCGATGGCCCTGTCACAAGGCGGCCGGACTCCTCGGAAGCCCTCGCGCCTTCTCAGAAGCTTTCGGTGTCTCTGAGGAAGGCTTACAGAACTTCTCAGAAGGCCGGGGGACTTCCGAACCTTCTGAGAAGGCCTTGTCCTTCTCACTTCCCCCCTTCGCTCGCCGCCGAATAGAAGGAGACTGCTGCTTAGCAGGCGCCGGCCCTGCATCTCCAAGCAAGGCCCGAGCCTCCCAAGAGGCAGGGGTGCTTCGAACAAGCCTTCCTCCCTGCCCCTACCCCCCTCTGCGCGTGGCTGAGA